TTACCATATTACAAAGGGCATATTATTATTTGTCCCTCCTTTCTTAAATATACAATATTGGGTTCACTGAAATATATTTGATTAAATATACATAATTTTCTCCTTTTCATACATTATGTTTATTTTCATTTGTGCAAACATTAGGTTCAAAATGACAGTTGTCGTTTTAGGATATTTCGAAAGATCAGACCGGAAGTGACCATCTTTTTACAGAATTGAAGAGGGACATGGAAATAGAAGACATGGATGGTAAAAAGATGCCATATATGACAATAATCTCTCACGCCATTCGTTATTTGAAAGAACATTTACTCCAACAACTAAAGGAAAAGAACGTGCTGGGCGCAATAACAGCAGACGGTATCTTCTGGGTTATAACAGTTCCCGCCATTTGGACAGATTCTGCTAAACAGTTCACAAGAGAAGCTGCTAAAGAGGTAGAGAAAAAAAAGGTTTTGTACATTTATGTGAGAACAATTATCAATCAAAAAAGTATTATGTAATACGGTATAACTCACGTAGTTTGAGAGAAAATATAATAATTTTTAATCATTTTTATTTACAAAATTGAAAAAACCCTATAATGATTAAAAAACACCAAATAAAACAAAAAGCTAAAGCAAGAAAGAAAACCACAACAAATGTATATCTAAACCGTTTAATATTGTTAATGAATGGTCATTGGTATGATTCAGCAAATTGGTTAAAAATTCTTACCCTTAAATATTGCACAGGCTGGTATTTATGATGACCAGTTAATGTTAGCCTATGAACCGGAAGCTGCCGCCTTGTACTGTCGTCTGCTCCCTATTGATAAATTCGAAAGTGGAGGTGAACACCACGAACTGGTTCTTCGAACTTTTGAACGAGGGAAAAAATTTATGGTCATCGATCTTGGTGGTATGTTGTCATGCATTTTGACATATTACAGACATGGTTTTTATTTTATCATTTTCATGTTACAAGTAGATTGTCTATATATTTCTTCACTTCTGTTCAGATTACAGATGATGATGCATTTTGGTTGAAAATAAGCAATGAGTTCTCTTTCAATCCTAGCGACATTGTATCATTATAAGTTACGCCTCTATCAAAATTGTAAAACCTATGTCTCTTGAGTCATTTATGTTACTTTTTCAAAGGTTTTTTTTAAAAATATCGTTTGACTCCTGTAATTCAATATCACATGATGAAAAGATATTTTCCCTTCATTATCAAGTGCATGGATTTAAAGCACTTACGGAGAAAACATCGATCCACTTTTCAACAAATATTGTTACTTTACAGAATTGTTTACGTAATTTATTATAAAAACATGTATTTTCTTAAAATACGATTAGTTTGAGCAGGTATAGATTTTTTGAAATGAAAATGCACTGTTGAAAATTTCATGAACATTTAAATTCACTTTAACAAATTCAAAACAAAATTCAACTTCATTTCATATACAGTTCATTAAATGTAAATGTTGTCTCGCTCAATAGCTACAAACTACATGCATTTACAAATCATTAGTACATGTAGTTTTATTTGTTAATTTTTATAACATCAATTTAATTCCCAGCTCTATGATATACTAATATACAACGTTGTAGAAATCATACTTAGTTAAGTTTTCCTGCACGAGACCTTCCTGGAGAACATAACCTTTTTTTTCATTGGACCAAAAGTGACCGAGAACTACCAAGATGATACAGTTAGTTATGAAAATTTATGTTCACCTTCACCCGACCTTCCATATGAATTTAACATTTATTTTTATTCCACATCCGACCAAAAATAGATCAAGAAATTCCAAATTACTGGCAATACAACTGGTTATATTTATTTTAGTCCCGCTTTTTTGCTGCATTTAAACAAATGTAAACAATGAAGGAAGATGGCAAAGTAAATTGCTTAACGAGTTCATATCATTTAATCATATATTAAAAAAAAATATTGCTGTTTTTCAATCAATACGACGATTAAGCTAACCAAAAAGCAGTAAAATTTTCACGTTATATATTTACTTCTCGGGTATCTGAGTACATTCTATCGAGTGAATTGCAGATCTCGTCAAAATCCATGGTCAATCATCATTCCACTTTTAGAGACTTCAGGCCATAATGACTTATGTTTTCTGTGCACATGAATAATCAGGAGGGAGAAATAACGCATTAGTTTCGTGCTGGCCATACAATATTGAGTTCACCGTTAAAGTAGATTTTTTTAGGTCCCGAAACCTGCAATTTTATGAAATCTTCTTTAGAAAATTGAACAAAATTTGCATAAGCCATGAAAAAATTCTAATTTTTTTTTCAATTTTCATGTTTTTGCGTCATCTTGCCTCTTTAGTTTTGTATTCTTATATTTTTAATTGGTTACATGTATATATAATTAATGATTTAATTAAATGCAACAAAATATTAAAGGCGGATTTGCAAATTTACGCTTAATGGTTATCCAACAAATTTATCACCGTGCTATATTGTGTTGTCGCGATTTGTCTCGCTGGAATTGTATACAGGTGCAGTTTAGAGTTTTGTTTCAGGAGGAACTGTGGATATTACGGCTCAGGAAACGACACAAAATGGAGAGGTGAAGTCAATTTCCGAGGTGTGCGGTGGACCTTGGGGAGGGACCAGAGTTGATGAAGAATTCCTCAAATTCCTGATTAAACTAGTGGGGGCAGAGGTTCTAAATGAATTAAAAGACAATTGCCGATCCGATTATCTGGAACTAATGCGCACTTTAGAAGTAAAGAAAAGAAAAGTTGATTCTCACTCAAATCATCCTGTTCAAATAAGAATTCCACCATCTTTATTTGAAATTCGTGAAGAAAAAACAGAATGCAACATTTCTGAAATTGTTAAACAGTCTCCTTATATGAACTCAGTGACCTGTTCGAGTGATAAAATGAACATTAATATCAGTGTCTTCCGAACATTTTTCAGAAATTCATTAAATGACATAATAACTCACCTTCAAGACATTTTACAGAGCTCAAGCTGTGAAGGACTGCTTGGAATTGTGGTAGTGGGTGGCTATGCTGAAAGTCCTATGGTGATTGATAAACTTAAGAAATCATTTCCAGGGAAACGTATCATTGTTCCCATGGAAGCTGGTCTTGCTGTTGCCAAAGGAGCCGTTCTATATGGGCACAATCCTGATGTTATTTGTTCACGAATCTGTCGCTATACATATGGGGATGATATTTGTAAACCTTTCATCGAAGGAGAGCATCCTTACAGTAATCTGACTGTATTTAACAAAGAAAAGTATTGCAAAAATATTTTTCAAAAGTTCTTTGAAAAGGGTGAAAAAGTATCCCTCGGTGATAAGCGAACTTTCACCACAGACTATGACTTTCGAGATAAAGGAAGGCAGTATCAGCGTGAAAAACCGTTAAAAATTAAGGTATACGTCTCGAATAGGAGAAACCCTGGATTTATTTATGATGTTGGATGCCGTTTTTTAGGAGAAATAACTGTGGAATGCGCAAAGAAAAAGTGGCCTGAGGAGTTCACCTGTACAATAGAAATGGAGATTGGAGGAACGGAAATACAAGTGTCGGCAAAAATGAGTACTGGCGATAAAACAATCGCCAAGTTTGACTTCTTGTGATTTGTTAATATACTGTATTTATATACATTAAATAAAGTTGCAAAAACAATACATGTAGAAGCTACTGGTAAAATAAGTCTTTTATATGTTTATCATAATACTTTAATTTCTTCACTGGAATAAAATGTGATTGAAAAGAAGTATTCTGATGATCAAAAGTGCTCTGAGATTTTGTTCATTGTATCAAAGGGACTATGTAGGTTTATAACCATTTTTTCTTTGTCTTCAGTGTCAACAGCAAATAAGAGAGTCCAGAAATTGTTCTCTTATTAAAGCATGATAAAGGTTAAATTTACTTAGTCTTTCAAATTAACAACCACACTAAATAGGATACCTTTACAATATTTTGTAAAACTTGTCTGTAAAGAACTGGTACGTGAACGTGTTTACCTCCCCTTTGTTTAATGTATCAATTCTAAACCTCTTTTTTCATTGTACACTGTAGATTGTTACTGAGTATAACATAAAATGCAGAAAATAATCCATGCTTTTATTGTATTATATCATTAGGTAATCAAGTAAAGATTTAGAAGTGTAAAGTTTTTTGTTTTTGCTCGCTATATGAAGATAACGAACAATAATCAAGCTCAAAAGTCCATTGAAACAAAACATATTGGGGGCAGAGCACACACGGACTCTACAAAATGTCAAAGGTGGGATCAGGTGCCATGGAGGAGTTAGTATCTCCTGTCGATCGGTCACATCCGCCGTGTGCTCCTAGTCATGATCGTCAGATTGTCATGATTTTCACCATTTTCCCTTCAAAGTTCAGAATCCCAAACACAGTGAATCTCTTTAACCAGCATTTGTATTTGAGATCCACATTGTACTTTAAAATACGAAGAATTTGGCATCAATCGTTGATAGAATTTGTGTCCAGACGTTAACACTAGTGATAAGCACAATTTCCTGTCACTCACACACACTTGTGAATAGTTTAAGTAATATCACTAAATCGATCCAGATTACCCAATAATAGAACACCTGCAGGTTATGATAAGACATTAGTGAAGTTACAAGATGCTCACTTAGAGTCTTTCGCAGAAAAAATATTCTTTTATCTCTAACATGATATAAATTACTAAAATATTGATTTAAATGTAAAAATTTGGTGTCTGAAAGATTTAAGATTGTTGTAAATTCTCCGATGTTGAACGAGGTGTATTGGAGTGGACGTAACAACTCTAGATAGAATTTAGTTAAGCAAATAAAAGAAGACAAATGATGAAATTTAGATTTTACAGCAAAATCTGTATTCTGATATTTAGTGTTTTGATTTGAGTTTATAAAGATGATTATTAACAGACATTAACAACAAAAACATTTGCATGGTGTTGGTCTTTTTAAACATGTTTATCAATGGTATTTATTTTTGAATTGAATTTTGCACTTATTCTGTAAAGCCGTAGTTTCCTTGCTTTTTGCAGGTGGGACAGTAGATATTGCGGTTCAAGAAACAACAGAGGATGGAAAAATGAAAACAATTTACAAGGTGTGTGGTGGAAACTGGGGAGGAACCCATGTAGATAAATGCTTCCTCCATTTCATCAATGACTTACTAGGGTCTGAAGTCATAAAAAGCTTGAAACACGAATGCAGGTCGGAGTATTTAGAGTTCTTACGGACATTTGAATTTAAAAAGAGGACCATCGATGTTGATTCTACGTTGAGAGTTGTCCTTAAAGTTCCTGTAGGCTTTGTGGATGTTCTATGGGAAAATTATGGCACTACATTACAAGACAGGATTAAAGCTTCTCCGCATAACAGTGCCGTTTCTTTCGTCGGAGACAAACTAAGTATTGAACATTCCTTATTTAGGTCATTTTTTCAGAAATCAGTGGATGACATCATTTCTCACATAGGAGATATTTTTGATGACAAATGCTGCAGAGATCTGACTGGCATAGTAATGGTCGGGGGATTCGCCGATAGTACCATTGTCAACTTTGCCATGAAAAACGCTTTTCCTGAAAGGAAGTTTATCATTCCATTGGATGCAGGATAAGCTGTTGTCAAGGGTGCAGTTCTCTATGGCCACGACCCCGATGTGATTTGTTCTCGAATATGTCGATATACGCACGGTGAAGATATTTGCGAACCTTTCGACAAATCCATGCATCCAGAATCAAAATTAACTATTATTGAAGGAGAATGCTATTGCAGTGACGTTTTCCAAAAGTTCTTTACTGTAGGACAAATAGTTTCACTTGGAGAGGTGAAAGAAATAAGTAGCAGTATGTCGTTTGTTGATGAATTTAGAAAGCTGGGTCGCTACAGACCCCTGCGTTTACGTGTATTTGTATCCGATAGAGAGTCTCCTATGTATATAGATGATGTGGGATGTCGCCAGCTTGGTGTGATTGAGGTTAAGTGTAATGATGGTGTTTGGCCTGAGAGGGTTTATATCAGTACAAAAATGGAAATTGCCGGAACTGAAATAAAGGTTACCTCCAAAATGCATACTGGGGAAGAAGTCACTGCAACGTTTGATTTCCTTTGAAATTGCATTATCAAAAAAGATTAACAGAAGACTTTTTACACGCACGGCTTTGCAGAAATCATGTTTACTTGAAAAATTACATTATACACTACTCATATAGCTATCCAAACTGGAAATAAAATGAGATTGTGATTAGGCTATAAACTGAAAACAGACTTGTCAGAATTTCAAATTAATTTACATGTAACTTCTGTGTGCTTATATTTGAATATTATACAAACCTGCAATTTCTTTTATTTAACCTACAGTATTCAAAATCAAAATTCTGACTTACGTCTGCTCTCAGTTTATGGTCCTGAGGTTAAGTGTATAATTTACAATGCATAAACAAATAAGAATATACTTTTAAAACTATTTGAAATTGCAAGTACCTCGAAATTATATTTTTGTAAAATAAAGTTTTTTACTAGAGGTCTTAATTTTACATTACCTAAATTGGCGATTGCATTATCTGCTTTCCAGTCGTTTCAGCTCACCAGAGCCAAAGACGCATACATGTATGAGCTTTTTTTCCATTGTCTGCTGTCGTCGTTGTAAACTTTACACATTTTGACGATTGCTTCTCCAGGACCACTGGTCAATTTCATCTTAGCTCGGCACTAAGCATCCTTGTGTGAAAGGAATTCAAATTTGTTCAAATAAAAGGCAACAATCTCTTGGAAGAGGATAATCAAGGGAAAAACATCAAAAGTGATAGCTGTAAATTCAAGTTCGTTTAAATCATGGCCCCTGGAGATGGAGTAGGCAACAATGGGCAACAATGGTGGTAAAAGTTTTACATGAGAATAATTAGGAAAAAATCTGTACAAATCTTCATCTCATGAACAGCTAAGCCATGATTAGTCATAATAGTATTATGGAAGCATGCTCATATAGTATAGATTCAGGTTTTTTCAAGTCATGATCCCAGGGTAGGGTAGGAATACATAAGGGGATCAATATTTTACATGAGACAATATATTAAAAGATCTTTAATTTTTTTTTTCAAAAACAGCAGGATCATGTAAACTGATATTAGTATGTAAGTATCCTTTGATAATGTATATGATAGGTTGAGGCTATAACAGGAGATCAAAATTTAACGTTTGGAATATATTGGGAAAATGTTTTAGAATCCTCTTCACAAGAACATGAAGGCATGTAGAGGTGTTGCAGATTCAAATGTGTTACAATCCTGTTACTATGGGGTAAGGATGAGGCCACATTAGGGTAACAAGGTTTACATGAGAATTTGTAGGGGGTAAAACCATTGAAAATGCCTCTTTTCAAGAACAACAGGGCCATGATTAGTGATATTAATACGCAAGCATCATCATGTAGCGCAGACTCATATTTATTCAAATAATTCTCTGGAGTTGGGTGGGGCCACATTACAGTGTAAGAATATCAGAAGTGCGGCAAAACTTATGATTTTCCTTCCCTTCATGAAGAATGTTAATGAATAATATTACATCTATAATCCAGAAAATTCAGAGTAAAAATGTGCGAAAGCAAAACCTACTCACTTAAATATTGTCAGCCCGTGCTCAGTGTTGTGTAGTTGTGTACAGAGTTTAACAAATGGAATACACCTGTGAAACGTAAACTGTTTTGTAAACAGGGCACGAGCTCTGTTGTTGTTTATGTTTACGTTTCACCGGGTGTGTTCAATTGTTAAACTCTGCACACACCACTGAGCACGGACTGACAATACTGGTGAGAGTATTTTGCTTTCTACATTTCTACTCTGAAATTTCTGCATTATATTTTTAATAATTTTCATTAATAAACAACAAAATTGCCACTTTTCTTAAGTATTAACAATAAAAATAAAATATGTGAAAGCGCAAGGATGTGTCAATCCAACGCGTCCAGAAATTCGAAGTTTTAATAACATAGAGATGAAATAAGATTTTTATTATATTTTAGTATGAAATGCTTTAGCAACATATATGTCATGAAATTATACAGAAAATTTGAGTAAATATTAACTTCAAATCTGTGTCTAAGCACCTTTAAAAACATTGATACATTTGTCAAATCAAAATGTCCACATTGTGTAGAGTGAAGTCAATTAATGTTGTGAATTTATCATAAAATACAGTTCATTTTATTTGAAAGATTTAATGAGACCAACATATCTCCCCGTATCCTCATTTTACGTATACCTCAGGTGAGCATTTTTTTTTTATTTATAATTCTTAATTTTTTAAACCCAAAATACATGTATATTCCTATCAAAATCTACAAAGGGTCATTATTCTACGTTGTGGTTTTTTTTCCACGTAATACATGCAGATTTCAAGGTGATGCCACTTTTTCTACATGCAAAAAGGTCTTTTCTGACATCGAATAATGACCGGGGGTCTCTACATCTTTAGCTAACCTGAGCTGAAAGCTCAAGTGAGCTTTTCCGATCACATTTTGTCTGTAGTCCGTCTGTCTGTAAACTTTTCACATTTTCGACTTCTTCTCCAGAAACACTGGGCCAATTTCAACCAAACTTGCCACAAAGCATCCTTGGGCAAAGGGGGTTCAAGTTAATTCCCCCTTCCAAGGGGAGATAATTAAGAATTGGTGAAAATTTGTAAAAATCTTCTTTTCAAGAACCATTGGGCCAGAAAAGTTGAAACTTATGAGAAACCTTCATTACATAGTGTAGATTCAAGTTTGTTCAAATCAGGACCCCCGGAGGTAGGGTGGTGCCACAATGGGGGATCAAAGTTTTGCATAGGAATATATAGGAAAATTCTTTAAAAATCTTCTTCTCAAGAACAATGAAGCCACAATTAGTCATATTGATATGGAGTCATCCTCCAGTAGTGTAGATTCAAATTTGTTCAAATTATGACCTCCGGGGTAGGGTGGGGCACAATGGGGGATCAAAGTTTTACATAGGAATATATAGGAAAAATCTTTAAAAATCTTTTCAAGAACAGGAAAGCCATGATTAGTCATATTGATATGGAAGCATCCCCAAGTATTGTAGATTCAAGTTTGTTCAAGGCATCCTCCAGTAGTAGGTCGGGTCATAATTGGGGGATCAAAGTTTTACAAAAGAACATATGTAGAAAATATCGAAAAATCTTTAAAAATCTTCTTCTCAAGAACAACAAAGCCATGATTAGTCATATTGATATGGAAGCATCCTCAGGTAGTGTAGATTCAAATTTGTTGAAATCATGAACCCCCCCCCCCTCCCCAGGGTAGGGTGACAGACATCTTCAAAATTCCTTTTTCAAGAACAACAAAGCCATGATTAGTTATATGAATATAGAAGCATCCTCAGAAAGTTTAGATTCAATTTCATTCAAAACATGGCACTTGGGGGTAGGATATACCTAGAACAGGTAATCAAAGCTTTACATATGAATATATAAGAGAAGAAATCTGACGAAGAACAGCAGGGCCATATTGACTCAGGTGAGGTTGTGGCCCATGGGCCTCTTGTTTCGTCTTCACACCGTATTTCACTCTGAATGTTTCGAGTAACAGTAAACAAAAAGATAGTATCGCAGATTAATAATCAGAGAATCCAGAATCATATGTTTATGTAAATACTGCATCAATTTTACAATAAACAATTGGAATTTCATCTAGGGAATTCCAAGGAACGACTCATTTTTAACATATATGCTGAGTGAAAGAACAAAATCTCAATTTTTTTTCACCGACCCCAAGGACTGGGCTAAACTATCTTAAAATGTCATGCAAAATGTAAATAAAAATATTTATGAATTAGTCCCAATGTGTTCAATGATTAAGAACAAGAGAAATTCACGGCAAAATATCTAGTTTCTCAATATTATATATTATATGTACAATTAGTATCTTATATGCTCTTTCTATGGAATTTCAAAGGATCCACATACAGCTGTATATGCTCAGTGTGTGCAATTGCCCTACCAGGTGCGCAAAAATACCAATAATTAACAATAAATCAATACAGTTTACTTAAATTTTATAATCAGAAATTACAGAAAGATTATCTATACTTATAAATTAATAAATTTTGCAAATAAACTCCGAAACGGGTGCACCAGCGTTCTTAATTACTCCTCTAACAATACACTGTATACAAGATGATGTCCGTAAACTATATTTAGATTTCACTTCCTTAGTAAGTATCGTACATTAAATTAAAAGTCTACTTTCATTTTCTATTAACAGCCATGAAATAGGAAAAACGTGAGTACGGTGGCGTTTCCGGTTGGCGGATCTAAGTTACTGGCAATTTTTAATGAAACTGACAACAAGCAATCGTTTATTTATTTCATAAAACGTCATCATTGAATTATTCGATCAAAACTTGATTTAAATGATATAAAAGAAATATGTTGTGATAACCGATTAGAAAGGGAAATGAGCAAATTATTTTCGTCATTCACTGATCTTAATATTGACGGAAGCTTCTAGAACATCATATAGCATCAAGCCCGATGTTAAAAAGTAATAAAAACGAGGCGATTACAGCTGCTTGAACATAAAAAAGCTTTTGTTTGAATGGTCATTGAAATAATGGTAAATCATCGATATCACTATAAGTTGTGAA